GGAGGGGAGCGAGGTGAGCTGGTGAGCGGCAAGTGGTCGCGGTGATTTGCACACCGGTCCTCCACGAGTGCTCGCACTTCCAACACCGAAGTCATCCACAGTGGTTCTGGGAGTTAGAAAACGGGGCCGTAATTCATTAGTTTTTTCGGAAGAATATAAGCGACACGAAGCCTCTCAGCCAACGACGCAAAGTCCGGTCAGCCAAGAAAGTATGGACGTGAGCTGCGAAAGCTAACGTTTACATATAGCAAATTCATCAGCATAGCAAATCAACGCATAAGATGTGACGGCTTCTCGTATTTGATTTGATTTGAATTTGCCTTATTTTACGTGGCGAGACTGTATTTGTCAAGTGCATTACAGTCAGCTCTCCGCAATAAAACAAGTCCAAGGGATTTCGATCTTGAACTTTGAAAAATTCGAACCAGTGACACTTCAGACAACAGACGAAGTCGTCCCATGTCTTAATGACGTACATCAGCCACACGAGCTATACATGAATCGCTAAAATCTTTGATGATGCAATGCTGTAAGGTAGTCTTCAGTGAAACCAATGGATAAAAGGAAAATGATAACGCACGTAACGGTAATAAAGGTAAAATGATTTTTTTTCAAAATGAGGACAACCAGGCTACAAAAAGTTATTGTGAGAGGAATTTCAAATTTTCGAACTTTTAGTTTGCTATCAAAAACGTTTGAACAACCGTAGAGGCGACAGAATAACGTTTGGAATTATTGTTAAACTCCTCACGTCCAGAGTGTCACAAAAAAACTAATTTAAAAACGTCGAATAATAAAGATAAGATTAAAGTTAAGGATTGAGAAGTTATTGACAGTGTCAAACAGATGTTGAGAGTGAAATTACTATAACCTTTTCTTGCTCTTTGTCATCTACTTAAATAATACTTTAGTCTTCAGTAAGTCGGGCTAAAAAACGTTCATAGTCACGTGGGGACTGAATATACCACAATTTTTAAAACACAGTCATAAAAAACATGAACTAATTCATTCAATTATTTTTACATACACTACTCTTGCCATATATTTCAAAACGATAAAATTCAAACTAAATACGTGAATTCTAATTTCCAATAGTTCGGGAAACCCTAACACAATTATTCAGAACAATAACACACTTTGCGAGCGTTTCTTGATACCTAAAGTTTAAACCTATTGATGCTTTTTCCTCTGAATGAATTTTTCTAACATATATAGAAATGACCGCATGTTTCCAAATTCTAGACAGTTTTAGAGGCAGCACAGTGTGAGCTCATACTCACGCATGGTAGCCTGTTGAATTAGTACTTGACGTGTAGCTGACATGGCAACGTTCGTAAAGAGCGCTGCAAGTTACAAAGCAGTCATAAAGAACAATCCTTTTTCTTAGATAACGGACGAGAAATCAACAAGCGAAAAGATTTGAGAGTCACGACGGCTCCCACGGCACTACAATTGTGCATTTTTAGTGACTGAATTTCGTCAAAATGTTCTATTCGCCCTGCATTTCTTAATTGCGGCGCACTGCGCCATCCTCGTTTGAGTTTGATGGAAGGTTCTCTTGAAACATGAATTGCTTGAGAACAGCGAGGAAAATCAGGGGAAAGTCGGCGATTGCAACAAGCCGGCTCATTTCTTACACAGAGAAGTATTATTTACAACCAAGCTGAGGGAGTACGTTTACACTGACTGGCGTGCAGCCATGAGTAAAAGCCTTCTGGAGCCATGTAAGCTACATCCTGGTCTAACAATGTGGTTAGAAACAAGAAGCACTCAGAACTGCTAAAGATTTATACTTTTTGTTGGAGATTAACAAAGTCCGCAAACATTTATTTCTACATGAAGTGGTCGTGAATGATTTACTGAAGAAGTGGCTGAGAATGATTTAATTATTTTTGTTTTACATTTAGAATTGAAATTACTAAAATATGTTTTCTTATATTTTGTTCTATATTGATACGTTATTCTGAGGCTTTAACGTAAATGCTTGACGCTACTTTTCCATCGATTTTTTATATTCATATTTAGAGGTAATGAATGTATAAACGTATTATAAATGCCCACGGCAGATCCATATATAATCTATCTCCACATTGAACTTATTACATCAGAGTTCAGTACAAAAATTGCATTTGGACTTTTTAATAAATTATATTCTACGATTTCCACTGATATTTTCAGTTGTGGAGAAAAATGTGACAACAATTTCATACTGATTCACAATGAAATGAATTCAAAAATTATTGTGTGTGGACGGTTTAAAAACAACAAAGTGATTTAATAAAAGTAAATGTAATTTCAATTTCAAATAATACTTGCAGCCTATTGAATCGACCAAAGTTCTGATTTTTTATCGGGTTCTAATTTCTATGTTCCAATTGATTTCATTGCAAATTTAGACATTTTTGTTGTCATTAATTACTGTGTTGATTTTAGGTATCAATATTTTGAACATTCCATTACAAATTGTGTCTCCAAATCATTAATCAAAACTCATCTACTTACAGAGCATTACTCCTAGAAATGAGCCCGACGTTTTTTATGAAAAGAAAACATCAGAAGCAAATTAATATCTAATCGAGGGACCCAAAATAGGAAAGTACTGGTATCATTTTTCTTCAACACGGAACATTTTTTTCTCAGAAAATTACACTTCTCTCATTTAACAACTTTCTGTAGTTATTGGGATGCCTATTAACTATATATTAACTATAAATTATCAATATTCATCGTAGCTTCTTGGATTAACAGCAAATTCGCGGTGAATACAACGTGCTGCCAAAGAACCTCTTGACCGTTTGACCCTCAAGCAGGCTGACCACACAACAGAACCAAAAGCCTAGCAGCATTTTCCAACGCTGAAATTAATAAATCATACAATATGAGGTATAAATATTCTGGAAGAACATCATCAAAATAAAATATTCCCATTGCCCTGTTCAATTAGTCACTACGGGAATACCTCACATTCCTCTTCGTGGTAAACAGTACGTATCTCTTTGTCGGCCGCAGCAATGGAAAGAACAAAAATCAAAACACAAACGTCGTGCTCTGTGGGTTAAAAACTATTTGTATGCAAATGCATCCGACTCCCTGAGGCTAAATCAGCGAAACGATCTCTAGTCGTTAGAGAGAAAAAAAACTCTGCTTCAAAGGGACCCGCGCTTGCCTCCCACGCGGCCTCGGATCACCAGCTCGCGCTGAAAATGGTGCTAATTTTAAATATGAATGCACCCGTACGTGCTCTGTTTATTGCAAGAACGTGGCATGACGTTAGAAACTTAAAAATTGCTCGTTCTTTCAGCTATAGCTCGTACAATTTGAAAAAAAAATACATCGTCTGAAATTTCTGATTTTTTACAGCAGTTTGTATCAATAAATGTGTATTTACGGTGGAGTAATGCAATTATGATGTGTTTCATACAGAAAGATAATTCCTCTTGATAATATAACTTCTTAAACGGATTGTTGCTGCTAAACGATTTCGTAAAGAAGATTGAGAATACAAGTTTACAATATTGAAAAGTTAATACCTGAAAAATAACGCATGAATTAACTAACATGAATTGGCGATGGACTCCTATTAGATATTTAATTTGGTGTTTAAATTTTCTTCTTCGACATAATTGAAAAACAATTCAACGAATATAAACATTAACTAGCAATATCACTTTTTAATTTGTTTTAAAATTTGCTACGTAAAATACATATTATATCCCGACATTTCTTCAGAAGCAAGACATAAAGTCAGTTTAAGTGATGAGTTTTGTAAGCTTTTAAGTGTAACAGATTTAGTGGAATGTTATTTAGAGTATATATATATATATATATATATATATATATATATATATATATATATATATATATATATATTGTAGTCCAAGCTGCTCCCACTTTCACCGGCCTTCCTCGATTCCTTCAAAACATCTTCACCTCGCCTGCATCGTGCCGGCATTCCTGTACACAATCTCTTTGATGAAGGAAGCTGTCGCTGGACATCGAACTGTAGATATCATTTCTATGAGTGCAAGTATCTTCAGAATGATTCATGGTTGGGGTAAAAGCAAAAAGAAACCTTCTTTACTTGATCTATAAATATTTAACAAGCCAGTATTAAATGTCTTTATCTTAATTTATTAATGTTTTCGAAGCATTCAAACCAACTTTAAAAATACAGATATCTATTGTGTATAAGTTTTTAAAGCACTAGTAAACTGACTGTACAAAATTCACTTTTATTGACATCGAATATCCTCGAAATATTTCTCTGAATTCCCTCTGCCTTAGTATGTAAGGGTTGTCGTAGTGAACTTCATCATTTCTCATAATCGAGGATGCGGCACCCACACACACCGACGTAAGTGCAGTCGGTGAGAGACATTGAGCAAAAATCGGTTGTATTGATAATTAAATAACATAGTAAGGGTTAGCAGAAATGGCGTATGTAGAGCTTACTCACTGTCACATTTGCCATTTATTACATCTTAGGCTCAACATTAATTTTCTATAAACGTAGGATACTGCAAGACATCTTCACAAATACCGAGTATATTGTCGCTTAAGTTATACTTTTAAGTTCGAAAAAAATATATTACAGAGGAGATCAGACTTTTGGAGGCAGTGTTATTTGTTCGCAATGTTTTCAGCTTAGGGCCTCTTCACAATGCGACTCTCAGTAGCACTTCCGAGTGGCGCGTCTGGTGGTAAAGCATTGATTTAAATGGAGGGATTCACACGAGCGGCGAAGTCACTGGCTAGCTGCGGTCGGTGGCGAAGGAGAGGCACAGACAGGGGAAAACTCCATTACCTTGAATATCCAGGATGTAAACCCGAGTTTGGCGATAGCCATGGAGGAATTCATACACGCACGTGCGCGTGCGCGCGCGCGCGCACACACACACACACACACACACACACAGATAAACAAACACACACCTGCACACTCACACAAATAGAGCGGAAGGAAAGGCACTCACCGAGGAGAACTCCATGACCTTGAGCACCCAGAGCGTGAGCGCGAGGTTGACGATGACCATGACGAGGAGGCCGAGGATGAGCAGGTAGAGGCAGCGCTTGCGCCACCCGTAGATTCCCACCTTGAAGCTGTAGCGCGGCGGGGCGGCCCCGCCCCCTCCGCTCGCCTCATCCGTCCACTCCGCCCCAGACAGTGCTTCCCCGCGCGCCATCCTGCAAGCGAATGGAACAGGTCTTTATTCCTGAGGTGGTACTTGAGCACCAAGATACATATCAAACAAACGAAATTCAATATCCAATATTTAAAAAAACAATGTTTGTTTGTGCTTAGTGCGCTGCCGCACCATTCATCCGATTGCGTATAAAAACTTTATCAACTTATTGCTTGCACTTGCGGGAAGAATATATGCATAGTACGACGAGAATGTGTATAAGCCTGCGTAAATAGACGCGCGTCGATTACGATTTTATGTTTACTCAAAGGCACTGATCAGGGCACTTAATGCTACGGTGCTCTACGCAATTCGCTGCACAGTAATGTACGATTATTAAGACGTCTTCATTGCGTATTATTCCCTTGCGATTGCAAAATTTCTCTCAGGAGAAACAGATACAGAGAGAGACAGTTGTAAACAGAGACAGAGAGAGAATCAAACAGAAACAGAATCATAGAAAGAGAGAAACACACACACACAAAGAAAGAGAGATGGAACCACACTAGCGAGAACTTTTTTCGTCTATTGAAAGTTTTGCAGAAAGCGTAGCGAAAAACGTGATTCACAATCACTTGAATAGAAGCATGTAAAACGTAATACACTGCAAGAGCGAAGGATTGTCGGGTCCACTAGTAAGAGATACAATATTACCATGAAGAATACATAAAACAAAAACACAATATGTTTTATATTATTTAAATTAAAATATAAGTATAATACATATCAGCTCATGTTGGAACATGCCTGTTGTTAAAAATACAAGCACGTTATAGTTATAATAAGCACAGGTAGAAAAGCTGAATTTAACGTTACGTATAATTGAAACAAAGGAGACTCGAGGTTTTTACACAGTACCAAGAAACCGTAGATTCCTGCGTTTACGGATATTTTTTTGCAATAGTGCTCTTTTATAAACGATCTAACAAAAGGAAAGAGGAAAGAAAGACTTCCTTAACTACTGCCGAGGATTTCAATATTTCGAAATTACACTTCAGTATTAAGATCAATCGAAACAATCGATTTGTAACTAAAAATGGCGTATCGCAACTCCTATTTCAAACTACTGGAGCTTGAACGGCACATACTTTCACGCATGGTTCCTAAATTTGAAAATTTTCAAAAATGCAGAAAATTTAACGAAAATGAGCGACCATCCCCAAAAAATATTTCACGCACTTTTTCGCATTGTTTATAAATCTTCAATTCAGAGAGTTCAACAACAATGCGACATATTTTAAGCGTTCTTTGTTCTAAACGTCGAAAATTTCAAAAAAAAGACAGAATATTTTCAGAAAAAAATGTTTTAAAAAATTAAAAATTACTTATAATGTACGAAAAATTACGCGACTACTACCATTGTTATCGAAAAATTGAGAAAGAGTTTCAAGACGTCTTTAAAGTACAGATTTTATTAAAGAAAATAACTGTCTAATATTCTAGCAATAGGAAGATACCAAAAAATACACACTTTTGAAATATTCAAGAAATAAGGGATTTCAACGAAAATGAGACCTGCACCATTCTCTTATACATCCTTTACTTATTCGAGGACAAAGGTTAATCAAAAAACAGCCTTTATTGAGAAAATTTTGAAAATGTTGATGAGGCTTCAGTAAAGTACCCCCAAAACCAAAAAGCCGTTTCAAAGTCAGAAGGTCTTGAGTTCATTTCAATCGGTAAGGGATTATGAACATTCGATAATATTGGCTCAACGATTTAGGCGCTAACGTTGACCACAAACGGACAGACTGACGGATGGTTGGACTGACGGAAGGACCGACTGAGAGACAGTCGTTTTTTTTTGTCAACCGATTTTTCGGTCATAGGGACCCACAAAAAATGAATTGTGACTTAACAACATAATAAATGAAGTAACATATACTAATGGAAGTGAATTCATCGAAATTTAACCGACATCGACATCACAAAAAAATGTATATGAATAGATACGAAATGTTTACAGGCTGTACTTTATGATTGTCGCAGTTTCCATTTAAAGTTTGAAGATTAATTCTACACAAATGAGGAAAATAAATAATTTAAATGTATAAATTTCGTGCAGGTAGCAGTAGTTTGGTATTTCTCACTCACATTATTTAAATAATATGTTGGTAGATGCACCACGACCTTTTTTTTCGTCACTCGCTAAGAACACATGGTTTTTAATTTATTCCGCCGGGGAGTTCCGAAACAGCAAAACTTGAACCTAATTGATTCACTAGCGACCAGTCGCAATTCGTAAGATAAACATTTTTAAACTAAGAGCAATATAGTATAAACAAAATTAAATACAAACATAGTATTTCATTAAAATTTGAACCAATTACATAAAATAATAATCTTAAATACCGTTGTTAATATAAAAATGATATTTTTCCTCTTTCATAAGGATTGGATACAAAGAAAATTCGAGAAACGCCAGGTATTTTGATAGTTTGATATAAATAGAAACACAATTGATCAACTTTTTCGTTACCAAGACCCGGTAATAAGTGTTGTTCTGTCGAAAATTCGCCGTTTTCTCACGCATGATTACAATGGTTTGTTTTTTCACGAAGTAAGAAACAACACAATGTCGGACGAGAATACAAACAATTTGCAGTGTTTTATGAAAATTAACTTGTTGAAAAAAGCTTCAAGGTGATCTAGGCTGGAGTACACTAAAACTAAAAAAAGGCAAAAACTAATGAGAGAAAAAAGTCTTCATTAACCAACAACGATGAAAGAACTTGGTATTAACTTGTAGTAATATAATGGAGGAAGAAAGGAATCCACAAGTCAGTGTCCAAAAGAATAAAGAGATTCACCTTAATTCGGTCCTTTCACTCATATACGCAAAATTGTTATGATGATTTGCGCCGATCCACAACCCGCCAGCACGCCACTTATAGGTGAACGCAATTGTTTAATGAAGTTAAGTGCAAGGAAAGAACTAACCGCACTTGTGTGCAACCAATGGAAAATGGGAAAATTAATTCGAGTACTCTGCAGCGAATGCTTTATTTGCTTTCCCAATAAAACGATTTTTACGTGATTATATTCCAGCGTCCAGCACCCTTTTAAGGTAAAATCTAATTTGTGGCAAGAGCTCTTTTTTGCCAACAGCGGGATCAAATATTATTTTCTAATTAAAGCGGGTACATGTTGTGTGTTTGTATTTGCATGAAAAATGAGAGATCTGATGATAGGCGATCGCGCTTTTGCAAGTGTTTAAATATTTATGGTTTCAAGGATAGTTTTCATTTTGATAGCTATTTACATTATTTATAAACATTTATATTAAATTCTTACCAATAAAAATGATATTGATGATTAAGCATGGCTTTAACTGTAGACTACTGAATTAATAGAGTTCTATGATAAAAAAGAACACAATTGTCAGAACTAGACAAAAGGCCGGATATATTCTGGCGTCCAAATAAAATGAAGTAGGAATAAGTGTTACAAAATGATTAACTGTGAATATACGAACAATTGAAATGCTATTGAATTTCAAAAATACAATATATGACTTTTTAAATAACATTTATCAGTCATTTACAAAACTCAAAGCAATTCATTCATTTCATAGGATGTTATCCGAATATTTTGTTTCAATGCATCACGAAACATGTATCAAATTCATACTTATTACATTATTTATTGAAAATGTGTTATCACAAACACCTTCTGGCTTGTAAATTCTATAACGTGGCATGAATATTTTATTTCTTTTAGAATTAGAAAAGTATTTTCTTAGACATTTTACAATTTAAAATATTTTATAAAGAGTAATTATCACATTGCGGAGTTTATTTCATAAAAATAATTAATACCATTATGAAAAAATGTGATAATTAGTTATGTTGTTTAATACCATAAAAAGAAGGGTTTTAATATGAGCAGAACCGGTTAGAATAAATATGCACAACATAAATATTGAATTAATATATATGTTTTATATAATATAATAATTTAAGTTACCGTGCAGACAATCCAGTTCAAATCTGGAAATTATTTATGAACAACTAATACTTAATAATATTAATACGTAAATTAGCGGACCTTTTGAAATATTTTACGAATGTCAATTTACTGGCTGCTGAAGGTAATGTGATACTATATAGAGTGTGACGAAACAACGAGCTGAATTTACAGGCAGGTGAAATGCACGTTTTACTCCTTATTTGGGGTACAGGCCACCACCGCGGGACTCAATCTCCTACCTGCCTGCGGCTTTCTTTGTCAGGTCAGCGGAGTACGGGAAGGGCGTGGTTCAGCCTTAACCCATCCGGTGTGGCGTCGTTAACACGAGGGCCAGAACCGTTAGGTCAGTGAAAGTACGCTGCGGGGGAGGAAGGGGTTGAGCCTGAACTTCCGGGAGTTGGCGCTCTGGCGGTTGACTCAGGTAGAGCCGCAGAGCCAAAAATACCGTAGGCTGTAAACTCCGAGGATGCTAGCCGGCGAGCCTCGCTTATGGTTGCCAACCTGAGAATCCTGTGTGGGGGCGTAAACCAAGCTGCTGGCCAGCGAGCCTATCTATGGAACAGTGGTGGGGGAGTGTCAGCCTCAACTATTTAACGCGGCGCCATCTGCGCCCGCGTTCTCATTCAGTTTGCATCGGGAAGCTTGTACGTGTATGTACAAGGAGTGTAGGAGTGTGGGCGAGATGTCCGGAGAGTAAGGGCCAGACGATCTCGCGTGCTGTAGGCACACGGTCGCCACGACCGGGTGAAATTTTGGCGTCAGGCCATGTGACGGTAATTGTCACGGGACGGATGTCCGACAGCTCGCATCACGCGTGGCTTGTATTTTTCTGCGGTAAAGCAGGGTATTGAAAGGAAAAGGTTGCCGGAGTGTTTTAATATTAGCAATTTACTGTAACTTGTACATAATCTTTTAATATATTATTTTTATTTTGTTATTTGAATTCATTTCTTATTTCACTACGTCACACCGGCTTAAGTCACCCCAGCCGTTGCGAGCTGCGGCTATCCTCCCAGCAGGAAAAAATCACAG